TACATTCCAGAGATTATAATCCAGATACTATAGAGTCAATAGTACAGAGACTATAAAGTAGCACAGAGACTACAAGTCAACAGTCCAGAGACTATAGAGTCCATAGTTCGGAGACTATAGAGGCTATAGTCCAGAGACTATAGAGTCTATAGTCCAGAAACTATACAGTCCATAGTCCAGAGACTATAGAGTCCATAGTTTAGAGATTATAGAGTCTATAGTCTAGAGACTATAGAGTCTATAGTCCAGTAACTATAGAGTATATAGTCTAGAGACTATAAATCTATAATCCAGAGACTATAGAGTCTCTAGTTCAGAGACTACAGAATCTATAGTACAGAGACTATAGAGTCTATAGTACAGAGTCTAAAGACTTTTGAGCCTAGAGTCCAGAGACCATAGAGTCTATAGTCCAGAGATTATAGAGTCTATTTTCCGGAGAATATACAGTCTATAGAATCTCCTTTTCCCACAATTTGCCAAATTAATTCTTTTATTATTCTTAAATATTTATTTAAACATTTTCTTTATAACATTTATTACCATCCATATACATTTTACAATTATAACTCCAAAACTCTTATCATCTACGAATGACACACTTGGCAATAGAGTTGGGTTTAAAAAACATAAAAATATGTGTTAAAACAATATTTCAAAATTTCCTCTATTTTTCATATTTTTATTATATTTAAACTTTGTTTTTCCCCATAGATAAATCAATTTAGTTGTTTTTGTAGTTTTTATAGAGAGGGAGGAGGAGGCAGGGGAAGTAGTGTAAAACAAACACAAACGTTTAAATATAAAATCAAAATATTGTTAAATGTTTGGAAATTGCATATTAGATTGTACCACCACAATACCAGGGTTGTATACAGGCTAGCAGTACACATGACAGAATGTTAAAAAAAAAATATGTCATACCATTGAGACAACAATAAAAACAACGACGTCAACAATAACAAAACAATGAATTGCAGCATAATGTCAAATCATATACATACGAAAACAAATGAATGTTTGTTTGCAAAATGAGGGGTTGCCAGATTAAGTGTTTTCTTTTGTTTACATTAAATATAGCCAAGTGATAATAAACTCAAATTTTAGTTATTGTAAGCAGAAATTAACAATATTTAACGACTTTTTATTAATAATAATATTGTTATTTACATAGTTAAGACTACAGCAACACTGTTTAACTGCATATAAGTATGTAAATGTACAAATTTATTTGTACTTTAGTACTTGTGTACCGGCGGTTTTGTTTTGACAAAACAAAAATGATTGTTTGATGTGTGTGATGAGACTTTTGATGTTTAGTATTTATTATTTGTTTAGTATGTTGTATTTTATTTAAAATGTATAGTAGAGGGTAATTTAGGTGATGGCCAATATAATGTTTAAATTAAATAAAAGTTAATTTAGTTTTCTATATAAATGGCAGACAAAAAAAAAGCAGTAAATACGACTTAAAGCAACCACGATTACACTGTAAAAAATAAAATGAAAATTTCTGTTGAAAAAACAAAGTTTTTTTATTTAATTAGTGTATATATGTTTTGAATAATCTCTGTTATACTAAAATAACTAAAATTTATTTTAATTTTTGAAAAGTTTTTTATTACAAAGAAGAAAAAGCGAGAAAACTACTACAAATTCAATTTATTAAAAACTTTCAATTGAATTTGTTTTTCCAGCAGCTCTTTAGGGAGTGGGTACTTTGGCTTTAGTTTTATTCGACTGAGTAATGAAAGTACATATTCATAACTACACTAAGGAGTAAAATAATATGTGCAAGAAATTTAAAAGGTAATAAATTTGTTAATTTCTTTTAAAATCTTATAGAATTATTTGCAACTACGTTTTCCAAAACTATTTAAATGAAAATCTCTTATTTGAAAAATAAAAAAATGTGACCTAGTTCGTCTACTAGCTCACAAAAGGGTTAATTTTGTTTAAATTTTACTATTTACCTCTTAGTTTATAATTATGTAGAATTTAATTAAAATATTTGATCAAATACTAAGTAAATCACAAAAAATTTAAAATTTTGAACTTTGACCTTTCAATTAATTCCCAGCTTTTAAACAAAAGTTTAGTATATATTTTTGAAATATATTAAGAAATTTAGCTTATTAAAACTAAGTCCTTTCAACAGTTTTTGAAATATTTACAAATTTGACCTTATGACCCTGCTTCTTTGATTTCGTGTACGTATAATTTTCATCATAACTGTACATAAATTCCCCTACGCACTTAACTATTACTATTACTACTATACTTTGAATATAAAGGAAAAATAACAGGTTTTTTGTCGAACTAACAATATCTAAAAAGGAAATTGCATTGCTTTGCCCGAGATTTGTTTTTCTATTCCATTTTCAATTCCATTAAAATTCAGGTTTAATACCATTTAAGCTGATACCTTCTCTACTAACGTTCTCAAACTATAACGCTATTCCATAAGGAGATCAAAGTCTTCAGGTTATACTACTGTAAGTACAGATTGGACGCTGTGGGTGTTGGTAGTTTTGTTGGCATATAACAGTGTTTTTTCTCTTAAAACTTGTATATAGGAAACATTATAATTGCATAAACTTGCAGCAGTACACCAGTGTAGGCGTTGGGGTAAGAGTTTGTTTTCCTAGAAATCTATTGGAAAGGGTGGTAGGAGGGTTCTCTTTATGCTGTATGTGTGCCTCATTGAGAAGAATTTTGTTTTCTTTTTAGTTTTTTTTTTTATTTTCTTTTATAATTTTTAATGGGTTTTTAAGGTTTTAGCCGTTGCACATGCCAGAGTATTGTTATTTTTATTTCTTCTTGTAGTAGATTTTCTTAATTTTGTTTTTCCTTCTAAAATTGTGTTTCTATGGTTTTAACGAGCTAAAGTCTTGTTTTTCTTAATATCTTTATTTTTCTAATATTGTTTGTTCTAGTTTTAAGCGAAATGTTTTTTCTATTTTCTTTTTTTAATTTTTTTACAATATGTTTTCTTGCGTTTATAAAATGTTTTTCTTACACGATAAAAACAAGAAATAGTAAAAATTTTTAACCAATTTGAATACTTTTTAACCGAAGAAGATGCAAATAGTGAGATGAGTCTAAACAAGACTAAACTATAGTCCAAACTATAGACACGACTATAGTCCAGACTATTGACACTATTACAGAAAAGACTAAAGTCCAGACTATAGAATATACTATAGTCCAGGTTATAGACAAGACTGCTGTCTATAAACTATAGACAAGATTATAGACAAGACTACATTCATATCTATAGACACGACTATACACAAGTCTATAGACACGACTATAGGCCAGACTATACATAGAACTATAGGCAAGGCTATCGACAATACTAAAGGTAAGGATATCAACAATACTATAGACAAGTCTATAGACTATCTAGTCTAGTCTTTAGCTAAGACTATAGTCCAGAATATAGACAAGACTATAGAGAAGTCAATAGTCCAGACTTTAGACAAGACTATAGTCCAGACTACCGACAAAACTATAGTCCAGACTATAGACAAGACTATAGACAAGACTTTAGTCCAGAGACTATAGACAAAACTATAATCCAGACTATATACAAGGCAATAGTCCAGACTATAGACAAGACTATAGTCCAGACTATAGAAAAGACTATAGTTCAGACTATAGTCCGGACTATAGACAAGACTATAGACAAAACTATAGTCCACTCTATAGTCCAGACTATAGACAAGGCTATAGTCCAGACTATAGACAAGACTTTAGTTCAGAGACTATAGACAAAACTATAGTCCAAACTATATACAAGGCAATAGTCCAGACTATAGACAAGACTATAGTCCAGACTATAGAAAAGACTATAGTTCAGACTATAGTCCGGACTATAGACAATACTATACACAAAACTATAGTCCAGACTATAGTCCAGACTATAAACAAGATTATAGACAAGACTATAGACAAGACTATAGACAAGAGTATAGACAAGACTATAGTCCAGACTATAGACAAGACTATAGTCCAGACTATAGACAAGACTATAGTCCAGACTATAGACAAGACTATAGTCCAGACTATAGACAAGACTATAGTCCAGACTATAGACAAGACTATACTCCAGACTATAGACAAGACTATAGACAAGACTACAGACAAGACTATAGACCAGACTATAGAAAGGACTGTAGTCCAGACTATAGAAAAGACTATAGTCCAGACTATAGACAAGACTATACTCCAGACTATAGACAAGACTACAGACAAGACTATAGTCTAGTCTACACAAGACTATAGACCAGACTATAGAAAGGACTACAGTCCAGACTATAGACAAGACTATAGTCCAGACTGTAGACAAGACTATAGTCCAGACTATAAACAAGACTATAGTCCACACTATAGACAAGACTATAGACAAGACTATAGTCCAGTCTATAGACTATAGTCCAGACTTTAGATAAGACTATAGTCCAGAACATAGACAAGACTATGGAGAAGTCATATGTCTATAGTCTGGACTATAGTCCAGACTATATAGTGCAGTCTATAGTCCAGACTATAGTCCAGACTATAGTCCAGACTATAGTCCAGACTATAGTACAGAATATAGTCCAGACTATAGTCCAGACTATACACAAGACTATAGTCCAGACTATAGACAAGACTATAGTCCAGACTATTGTTCAGACTATAGACAAGACTATAGTCCAGGCTATAGGCAAGAATATAGTCCAGAATATAGGTAAGACTATAGTTCAGACTATCGTTCAGACTATAGTCCAGACTATAGTCCAGAATATAGTCCAGACTATAGTCCAGAATATAGTCCAGACTATAGTCCAGACTATACACAAGACTATAGTCCAGACTATAGACAAGACTATAGTCCAGACTATAGAACAGTCTATAGACAATACTGTAGTCCAGACTATAGAAAAGATTATAGTCCAGACTATAGATCATACACAACATAAAATATATAAAAATAACAAAATTCCAAAACTTACCTGAAATCTAAACTTAAATTTCTCTGATGTGTTGAAGCACGTTTTGGAGGATTGCTGCCGTTACCACCCGATGTACCACCATTAACCCCACTACCCGGTGTACCCGCAGCTAAACTTAAATTTGGACGACCATGAACCGAGGGCATAGAATGATTAATAAAACGACTTAAACTCAGTCTCGGTTTAGAGTAACGTGTGTGTTTGGGTGTAGTGGCCGCTGAATTGACCGGAGTACCACCGATACTTTGATTAGAGTTGGGTGGTAAAGAAGCCAAACTACTGCTACTATTTGGCATTATAATGGGCAATGTTACGTGTGAGGATTTCAAAAATGCTGGTACATATTCCGAGCTGGTCGAAGATTGTGAACTGCGCCGAGTTACCATGGTGGGTGATGAAGGTTGGGAATAATCGTTGCTGCTGCTTATATCACATCCGGTGGCGGATGAACAAGAACTTGGACCGGAATTACAGAGTGCCAGAGAGGTATTCGAATTGGAAGAAACAGAGATTGAGGAGGATGAAGACATTAGTGAAGGAGAGGAGGTATTACTATTCAGACTCAAATTCAGACTTTTGGCGGGGCTGGGTAAATTGGCTGAAGTGGCTGCTGTTGTTGTTGATGATGATGAGTTTAATGCTTGCTGTGTTTTGTTATTGGCTGCCGCAGCTACCGCTGTGGGTGCTATGGGACTATGCACCACGGTGCTATTGCTTTGATCGCTGGAACTACTGCTGGTGGTGCTGGTGCAAGCGGTTATAGAATGTTCTGATTCATCATCGTCTAGCTCATTTAAATGGGAAGTGGGACTGCTGGTTAAACTGTGTTGACCATTGGTTATGCTCGCATAACCATCACTTATACACTCCTCTAGAGAATCCTGGCAATTGCCATTTTCTATTTGTGTATTTGTTAAGACACCTTTGCCACCATTCATATTACAATCGGCCAGACTGGATGTTTCCAAGGAGTTGGGTGTCAAACGCACTGTTTGTAAAGGAACATGATCGACTACATCAACACCCGCCACTGCTGCCGTTACCGGCCGAAAATTATGCATATCGGTTTCTAGCAAATCATCTGCACCCACTATGGGCGACAACAATTTGGTGGCCGTATCTATTTCACGTATATGTCTCAAATATTGATAACTATTATCCTGGGCGTTAATTGCCTTCTTTTTCGAGGAGGAGGTGGTCAATGTATTGGCAATCATGCTTAAATTATTATGTTTATTATCATTGCAGCCATTGGGGTTGGAGCCCGTGATATTATTGGCCTGTTGGCTGGAATTCTTTTTGGCCTTAAATGCAGAAATAACGGAATTCATTTTTTTAAAACTATTTTGTGTTCGTTGAGTATGGAGTTAGAGAATCTACTTGATCTTTTAAACTTTCGTGAAAGTGAGAGAAGGAACGATTAATATGAGTATTTCTTGTTATACTTATTCTCTTTTTTAAAGGATTTTAAGTTGTTCTTTTAATATTTTTTTTTTGTATGTTTATGAGAAAAACATTGATGAGAGGAAGCTAAGTGTGACAGACAGAGTTAGAGTTTACTTGCTGAGTCTTAAGCCATTTTTCGATAAATCACAACCTTTACAGCTAAATTTTAAATCAGTTTGAACGTCTGTAGACATTTTATATTCCTTAAAAAATCAGGACATCTTGTTAGAATTTCCTTTAAATCCTGTTAATGACTATTAACAAGATCATAAGCCCTGCTTAGAGTTCATAAAGCAGAGAGTAAACATGGTGGTGAACTGTAAAGAGAGACAACAAGAGATGAAAGTTAATTAGTTATTAAAATCATAGCGGTTTTTTATATTTTATAAATGTTTTTTATAAAAACTAATCTCCTTATAAAGTTATTATAAAAATCTATCATTTTTGTTGAAACCTACACATTTGCTGTTTGTTATTTTAAAAACCTTTTCATTATTTATAATCCTCTCCTTATATGGTCTGGGCGATCAGTGCAATTACTTGGTATCATTAGATACCAAGCGCCAGTTGCTATTTTAGGTAAACCGTTTTTCTTTAAATGTTTATATTTTTGAAATGATTCATTTTCATTTAAATATTTAAATATTTATTTAAGATATCAATCAAAGCGAAATTCAATGTTATTAATTAGTTTACTTAAACTTAAATAAAATTGGACAAGGACAATTTTTGACCTACTTATTATAAGTCGGTTTACAAAAAGTTTAAAATATATAGATAAACTAGACTATAGACCAGATAATTGAGAAGACATTACTATAAATATGATAGAGTACAAACCAGACTTTAAACTACTAGATAATAGTCCAGATTATGGACCAGACTATAGTTCATACCACAGACTATACTATAGACCGGACTATATATCTGGACTTAGACTATACTATGAAATAGGCACTAGACTAGACTGTAGACTAAGTTATAGACTAAATTGTAGACTAGACAATGGACTAGACTTTAGACTTGGGACTATACTTTAGACTAAACTATAGACTAGAATATAGACTAGACTTTGGACAAAATTATAGACAAACCTATAGAATAGAATAGACTAGACAATACTATAGACTAGACTATAGACTAGACTATAGACTAGACTATAGACTAGACTATAGACTAGACTATAGACTAGACTAGACTATAGACTATAGACTAGACTAGACTAGACTAGACTAGACTAGACTAGACTATAGACTAGACTAGACTAGACTATAGACTAGACTAGACTATAGACTAGACTATAGACAAGACTATAGACTAGACTATAGACTAGACTATAGACTAGACTATAGATTAGACTATCGACTAGACTATAGACTAGACTATAGACTAGACTATAGACTAGACTATAGACTAGAATATAGACTCGACTATAGACTAGACTATAGACTAGAATATAGACTAGACTATAGACTAGACTATAGACTAGACTATAGACTAGACTATAGACTAGACTATAGACTAGACTATAGACTAGACTATAGACTAGACTATAGACTAGACTATAGACTAGACTATAGAGTAGACTATAGACTAGACTATAGACTAGACTATAGAGTAGACTATAGACTAGACTATAGTCTAGACTATAGACTAGATTATAGACTAGACTATAGACTGACTATAAACTAGACTATAGATTTTACTATAGACTAGATTATAGACTAGACTTAAAACTAGACTAAATTATAGACTATAGACTTGACTATGGACTATAGACTAGACTAGACTATAGACTAGACTAGACTATAGACTAGACTAAACTACAGACTAGACTATAGACTAGACTATAGACTAGACTATAGATTAGACTATAGATTAGACTATAGACTAGACTATAGACTAGACTATAGACTAGACTATAGACTAGACTATAGACTAGACTATAGACTAGACTATAGACTAGACTATAGACTAGACTATAGACTAGACTATAGACTAGACTATAGACTAGACTATAGACTAGACTGTAGACTAGACTATAGACTAGACTATAGACTAGACTATAGACTAGACTATAGACTAGACTATAGACTAGACTATAGACTAGACTATAGACTAGACTATAGACTAGACTATAGACTAGACTATAGACTAGACTATAGACTAGACTATAGACTAGACTATAGACTAGACTATAGACTAGACTATAGACTAGACTATAGACTAGACTATAGACTAGACTAGACTAGACTAGACTAGACTATAGACTAGACTATAGACTAGACTATAGACTAGACTATAGACTAGACTATAGACTAGACTATAGACTAGACTATAGACTAGACTATAGACTAGACTATAGACTAGACTATAGACTAGACTATAGACTAGACTATAGACTAGACTATAGATTAGACTATAGACTATACTATAGACTAGACTATAGACTAGATTATAGACTAGACTATAGACTAGACTATAGACTAGACTATAGACTAGACTATAGACTAGACTAGACTATAAACTAGATTATAGACTGGACTATAGACTAGACTATAGACTAGACTATAGACTAGACTAGACTATAGACTAGACTATAGACTAGAATATAGACTAGACTATAGACTAGACTGTAGACTAGACTATAGACTAGACTATAGACTAGAATATAGACTAGACTATAGACTAGACTATAGACTAGACTATAGACTAGACTATAGACTAGACTATAGACTAGACTATAGACTAGACTATAGACTAGACTATAGATTAGACTATAGACTAGACTATAGACTAGACTATAGACTAGACTATAGACTAGACTATAGACTAGACTATAGACTAGACTATAGACTAGACTATAGACTAGACTATAGACTAGACTATAGACTAGACTATAGACTAGACTATAGACTAGACTATGGACTAGACTATAGACTAGACTATAGACTAGACTATAGACTAGACTATAGACTAGACTATAGACTAGACTAGACTATAGATTAGACTATAGACTAGACTATAGACTAGACTATAGACTAGACTATAGACTAGACTATAGACTAGACTATAGACTAGACTATAGACTAGACTATAGACTAGACTATAGACTAGACTATAGACTAGACTATAGACTAGACTATAGACTAGACTATAGACTAGACTATAGACTAGACTATAGACTAGACTATAGACTAGACTATAGACTAGACTATAGACTAGACTAGACTATGAACTAGACTGTAGACTTAAGACACTAAAAATTGGACAAGGACAATTTTTGACATAGTTATATTAAGTTGTTAAACAGAAAGTTTAAAATTTCTAGATAAGATTATTTCTGTCATTTATTTTGTATTTATTTTTTTAAAAATAATATTTTATTATGTTTATTATTTAATTTATAAATAACATGTGTGATTAATAATATTTTAAATGCACAATGTCACGATGAGTAATCAGAGGGCTATAATATCAATGTAGAATGGGGGATTTTAAATTAAAATGGAAATGAAGCAGCAAGTGTAACAAAGTTATAAAATTTCCTTAAAAGCTGTTTTTTATTAAAAGTGAATTTTAAAGGAAACCATAAAACTAAACTTAAATTAAAACATCAACAACTCTATAAAACCCTAAACTAATCCAACATAATAAATCTATCATTCACTGCCCCAAATAGAAATTCTTGTCTAAAATATATATCATCATCATTAAATTAAAAACAACATTATTAGTATTATTTTTATTTTAGTTAATATATTTATTATGTATGTGGGTTTTATTTCTTTTATTATTTTTACCCCGACTGACTAATCAACAGGTCTGCGTGTTAGAAATACATATATTTTAAAAATAAAAAGTTTTAGTATATAATTTATAAAACTACTACAAAAATACAACATGAGAAGATTTTGCCAAAAAATAAAACTAGAAAGAAAAAAACTTAAAAATTCACACGTGCCAGCAAGAAAGAAACAAAAACAAGAACATTTTACTTTAATTGAAATTGAGTGCGTAATAAATTAAGCACAGTGGTTATAAGAGAGAAAAAGAGGCTATAGTTCAATTTTGGTACAAATGTCAAGTTTTCTTCTAAGTTCAATGTTCTTAAATTGTTTTTGATTTTGACAAGTTCTATATTTCGCCTAAGTAGACCCACTGTAACACGCACAACCATCCAACTGTGCTTAAATTGTATTTAGTTACAAAATAGTATATTTTTTAGTTTAACTTTATTCCATTTTATTATTTTTCTGGTTTAAAAATAGATATTTAACCCCACAATTTGAACCATAACATCAGCATGAACTTTTAGAGAACATTTCCACAGTCCATATTAACACGAAAAAACCTAAATAGAATTGATATCATTTCCTTAGTAAAAAATTTACAAAATCTAAAGAATAAAAAAAGTAGAAGTGTAACGAATTGAATAGACTCTCCATCAAAAACAAACACCAAACTATAAACCTGACTATAGACCAGACTGCAGACCATGTAATTGAACGGACTTTAGACTAGAATAGAGACCAGATTATAAACTAGATTATAGACCAAACTATTGACCGGACTATACAGCATATTAAAAACTGGACTAAAGACCAGTCTATATACCAGACTATAGATCAGACAATAAACCGGACTATAGAGTAGAATGTACACCATTCTATACCAGACCAGATCATAAACTGGACTATTGAACAAACTATTGACAAATCAGAATGAATACCAGACTACAAATCAGGCTGTACACCAGACTATAGATCATAGTAGAGACGAGACTATAGATCAGATTATATACTATAGACCAGCCTCTACTAAAGAATAGGCTATAGACCAGACTACAGACTAGACTAGACTATAGACTAGACTAAACTATAGACTAGACTATAGACTAGACTAGACTAGACTAGAACTAGACTATAGACTAGACTATAGACCTAGACTAAGACTAACTAGAAGAGACTAGACTATAGACCAGACTATAGACTAGACTATAGACTAGACTATAGACTAGGCTATAGACTAGACTATAGACTAGAGTATAGACTAGACCTATAGACTAGACTATAGACTAGACTATAGACTAGACTATAGAAACTAGACTAGAGACTAGACTATAGACTAGACTATAGAAACTAGACTATAGACTAGACTATAGACTAGACTATAGAAACTAGACTATAGACTAGACTATAGAAACTAGACTATAGAACTTGACTATAGACTAGACTATAGACTAGACTATAGACTAGACTATAGACTAGACTATAGACTAGACTATAGACTAGACTATAGACTAGACTATAG